AAGCTTCCTGAGGGCAGGCACTATTTTGTTTTTGTCTCTCCCCCCATACTTGGGAAGTGCCTAGCCCATAATAGGCATTTAATAGACGCTTAATGATTGATTGGTTTGAAACAAGATGTGACTGGTGAGGGAAGCAGCTGCCTCTTGGTGTCTTTTCAGACACTTCTCAAGGGAGCTCTGCTTCAGCCCTGGGTCCAGGCCATCTTCACCCTAGGGAGCCCTGTGGCTACCTCAATCCAGACACCTGCCTTGTTATTTTAGAGACTTCCTAGGAAGCTCCACTTCAGTCCCAGATTCAGATCACTCATTTCTTAGTCTGTGTCTTTGCCCCAGAGCCTTTCCAGAAAGTCAGCATCAGCTTGGCTGTAAGCCACCCACCTGGGGCCAGTTTGCTCCAGAGATTCTCCAGTTCCCTAGAGGCCCTTCCCAGATCTGACCTACCTTTCCCAGACCAGACAAGCCCCAGCCTATTGTGAGATGGGTATACTGGACATGGCCAGGCACAGCATTACCAACTTCAATATGGTGGACCTCAAGGGAGGGCCCTAAACAACACTCAATGGACCTCTCTCCAGCCACTGATGCTCTGCCTGGATTCATTCCTTAATCATTTATATATCTCTCTCCTCCACTCCCTTCCCCCCCCCCCCCCCCGGCCAAACACACTGTCACTTTTCAGTATTCCAAATCCCTGGCTACAGAAGTACAAACCTTGTTCCCCATTCTCATCTACCCTCTCCCTCATTCCCATGTGGCTCAACCCAACCCCACAAAGGTCCCAATCCACATCTACCCACGTCTTCTACTGTGCTCTCTGGAATACCCATTCAATCATTAACAAACTCACTTTTATCTTAAACTTTTGCCTTTCTTATCCCTTCCGTCTTATGGTGCTCACTGAGACCTGGTTCTTTCCGGATAACACAGCTTCCATGGCCATGCTTTCCCTCATAGCCCTAAACTCACAGTCATGATCCAAGAGTTGGCATACTTCTGGCTACTCATTGCCATTTCTATACTCTCCCTCCACCCCAACCCCTGGGCAATTTCTCCTCCTCTGAGAGTCACACTATTCAAATTTCTCATCCACGGTATCTGTTAGGCTGTTATCTGTCAGCCTCCCTCCCACCCCCAACCTGAGAGGTTCTCCTTTCTTCAGTGAGTTTAGTGTCTGTCTCACAGTCTCTTCCTCCTTCCCAACTTTAATCCTCAATCAACATTGAAGAAGACATTGAAATATATTAATACTCCATCTTGAGCGTCCCCGCTTTCCAATTTCTCAATCTAGTCAATCCCCATGACCTACGTCTACATCTCAATCATACGCAGAGATTGTCGTACCCTTGTTCTTGTGATCACTTCCATGTTCATGAAATCCAAAATTCTTCCATTTGATCGTTATCTTATCATTCCATCTTTCCATCTGCCTTCTGAACCCTGTTGTTCATCCTCACGGAAACTTCTGATTCCCCCAGTCCCCTGAGTTCTTTCCCAGGCCATTACCCTTTCATTGGCTACACTGTCTTCTCTTCCTCCTCTCCACCCCTTGGTGACCAGATTCACTACACATTTATGTTACATGATTTTAGCTGGGCCTTCACTGCAGCCAGGCAATCCTTTTACATACCTCTAATTTATTCATTCTCACACTCTCTACAACAACATTTTAAAATCTTTTCATTCCTTTTCGATTCTCCCACATCACGCCTCTTCTCACCCTCTCAGCTGAGGACCTTACCTCATACTCATCTGGCCATTGGATGAGATTCTTGTCTTCCATCCTCCTCACTTTCCTCACTGTCTCTTCCTTCACCCTCCTTATCTCTAATGAAAAGGTGGCTCTTCTTGTTGAGATAAAACCCTCTACACACATCCTTGATCCTGTTCTTCCCTATTTTCTCAAGTAGGCTGCCCTCTCTACCATTTCCATTCTAATCTTCAGCCTCTCCCCATCTACTGACTCCTTTCCTGCTGCTTACAAATCATGCCCATATCTCCTCATCCTTAAAAATACTCCTTTCTTGATCCTATCCCCCACTCCCTGCAACTATTGTCCTATATCTCTTCTCTCCTTAGCTACGTTCCTTGAGAAAGTGGAATACCATCCCTTCCTCCACTTCCTTTACTCTCACTTGATTTTTAACCCTCTGGCTTCTAACCTCATCATTAGAGTGACATCACTCTCTCTAAAGTCACCAGTTACCTCTTAATTATTACATCCAAAGGTCTTTTCTCATTCCTCATCATCCTTGACCTCTCTGCAACCTCTGACACTGTTGATGATCCTTTTTTTCCTGGGTACTTTCTCCTCTCCAGGTTTTTGTGATGCAGTTCTCCTGGTGGTGCCCTCCTACCTGTCTGGCTGCCCCTTCTCTATCTCCCGTGCTGTTTCTTCATCCTAGGTCATACCCACTAATCATGGCTTTCTCAAGACTCTATTCCTGGACCCTCTTCTCTTTTCCTTCTATATTATCTCCCTCGGTATTCTCATAGGGGTTAAATTATTATTTCTATGTAAATGATTCCCAGATTTGTATATCCAGCCCTAACCTCTCCCCTATGGGCAACTAGGTAGTGGAGTGGATAAAGTGCTGGACCTGGAGTAGGGAAGAACTGAATTCAAATCTGGCCTCAGACACTTACTAACTGTGTGACCCTGGACAAGTCACTTAACCCTGTTTGTCTGAGTTTACTTATCTGTAAAATGAGCTGGAGAAAGAAATGGCAAATCACTGCAGTATCTTTGCCAAGAAAACCCCAAATGGGGTCACAGAGAGTCAGACATGACTGAAATCAACTGAACAACAACTTCTCTCCTAAGCTATAGTCTCAAATCACCAACTGCCTGTTGGACATCTTGAACCGGATGTCCTGTAATCACTTCAAATTCAACATGGCCCAGGCAGAATTCACTATCTCTTCCCCCCCACAATCTTTCCAGATTTTCTATTATTGTTAAGGGCATCACCATCCTCCCAGTCCCCCAGGATCACAAGCTCTTCCCTCTCTCTCCTCTCTCATATCCAGTCTGTTGCCAAGTCTTGTTGTTTCTGTCTTTACAACACCTCTCATTATACATCCTCTTCTTTCCATTTATACAGCCACCATCCTGGGGCAGGCTCTCGTTACCTCCCATGCCCCAATAGCCTCCTGGTTAGTCTGTCTACCTCAGGTCTTTTTCTGCTCTAGTTCATCCTTCACTCAGCTGCCAAAGTCATCTTCCTAGAGCTCGGACGCTACCATGTCACTCCCCTACTCAATAAACTCCAGTGGCTCCCTGTCACCTCCAGGATCAAATATGAAATCCTCGGTCTGGCCTTTAAGGCCCTTCAGAATCTGACCCTTCCTACCTTTCCAGTCTTTTTACACTTCACTCTTCTCCCCATACATCACCATCCAGTGCCACTGGTCTTCGAGCTCTTCCTTGAACGTAGCGCTCTATCTCTTGCCTGGCTGTTCCCCATGCACAGAATGCTTTCCTTCCTCACCTCTGCCTCCTGGCTTCCCCAGTCTTCTTGGAGGTTCAGTTCAAATCCCACCTTTTTCCTTCCCTCCGAGGTTCTGCCCCTCCTCACTGACACCGCATATTTCTTGCGTAGTTATTGGCATGCTGTCTGTCCATTAGAACACGAGCGCTTTGAAAGCTGGGACTCGTTCTGAATGTCTTTGTACCCTCAATGCCTAGCATAATAATGATGATGCCTAGCTTAATAAATGTTTGTTGATTGATTGATTGTGAAGAGCCTTGAAGACAAGGTTGAGGGTGTTGGTCAGCAATGGGGAGCCATAGAAAGGTTCTGAGCAGGAGAGCAATGCCATTATACCAGTTTCTCTGCCTTTCAAACATCCTTGCTAAACACTGCCAATATGGAACTCCCCTTGGCAAGTAGCCTGGAAGTTTAGATAGAAGCCCGATGAATTGGAATAGTAGGAAGACTGTGGGAGCCAAGCAGGGAGCTGGTTTTCAAGCAGTCTCCTGGCTTGTACATTCTATTCTGTTGGGTGCACAGGGGAGGGGGTGACTAACGTAACAGTCTGGACTGTGCCCCTGTAGCATTACCAAGGATCCTCATAGAGGTAAAGTGTGTGGTGATGGGCGAAGGTGTAGCAGTGATATTCTCTCTCATCCCAAGATGCAATTTGAACATCTCCATGGCGGTCTGCAGCAGGTAGGACTCTGGGCACCAGGAGAAGGGAATAGTGGTGATAGAATGGGGGTGGTGGTGACAGTTTGTGTGTAGGTGGTTACATCATAGATAAGTGAGGATGGTGCTATGGAGGACTGCTGGGGGAGGCAGGGTGCCCCCTTTAAATTTCAGTGCCTTGGGGCAAAGCTCCAGCTGTTCCAGCCTAGTTACAGCCATGTCCTTATAGAAAATGAGGTGTTACTTTAGGTATTCTCTAATACCTTCTAACTTTAACATTCTTTGTCCAAAGATCTCTTTCAGTTCTAGCACTATCCTATCCTAGCACTTTATGTTCTAAGGTTCTTTCCAACTCAAACATTTTGTGTTCTAAGTTCCCTTCCTCCCTAGCAGGTGGTACTGTTCTCATTACTGCACCTGTGTTCCTCCCTGCCCCCCACATGCTTACATTCCTTGGTTCTTGCAGCCCATGTCAGAATTGCTAGTTACAGTTTAAGAGACGGGGGACCCGAAGCCCAGAGATCAATGCCACCGTCCCAAGGTCACACAGAGAGTGAGCAGCAGACCTGAGACTAGAACCCAGGTTTCCTAATCCCCAATCCAGAGCTCTTTGGGAAGTGACATGTTTACCAGATGGGGGAGGTGACAAGGCATTTAGACAAATGGGCAGAAGATGGGATTTTTCACTTAGTTGGCAATGCGCCCACTTGGTGGGCATTCTCACTCAGAGGCAGAAAGGCAGCAGAGGGGACTGGAACGGTCAATGCCTGGTACCTGTCCGGCACTTAATAAAGGTTTAGTGATTGGTGATTGATCGACTGGTTGATGGACAGGGTTTTTCTCTTTCTCCCTCAGGATGAAAACCCAGGTCCAGGTTTCTACAATGTCATTCATCAATCTCCAGAGTTCAACAGTGTCTCACTATCAAAGAAAGGAACAGGAGCTTTTCCTTCGGTGGTGAGACAATCTTCCTTTTTGGTGGCTTATTCCATTCTTCCATTCTTCCTTCTTCCTTTGAAGCCAGAAGCCAGGGCACAATCTTCTCCAGCCTCCTGTGTCTTTTACTATCTCTTTTGCTGCCATTAATGAGGCTGCACATCTGTTAGGTGCTTTTCTGAATGCCAAGGGCTTTCACACCAATTACCTCATTTGGTGCTTGCAACACCCTTCCAGGTAATGAGAATAACAATAATAATAGTAATAATAATGATGATGATAATAACAGCTTACATTTATACAGAGATCTTTAAGGTTTATAAAACACTTTCCATGCATTATTTCATCTGATCCTCACCCCCAATCTTGTGAGGTCGGTGCTATTATCATCCCATTTTATAGATGGAGAAACCCAGAAGTTAAGTGACTTGCTCAGAGACCCACAGGTAATAAGGGTAGGAGGTAAGATTTAGACCCAAGGTCTTCTGTGTTCCTCCTACTCAGGTGTGGATCATTTTTGGCTGAAGAAATGGAAATTGAATTACGTGACCTGCTGAAGGCTTCACAGACAGGAAGTGGGGGAGTTGGGGACTCAGGTCTATTGATCCCAAGTCCAAGGTAGTTTTCCATGATGCCAGACATCTTTGGTTATATCTGAAAAGCCTTAGATCTTTCACAGACATGACCCAGGTGGGGAGACAAGCTTAAATGTTTTTGCCCATTTCTTAGAGGGGTAAATAGAAGCCCAGAAGTTCCATTTTGTTGCCACACCCCTGCCACACCCAGGCAGAGCTGGGGAGAGACACTTGAAAGAGAATTCAGAATTTGGCCATTTGGGATGATTCAATCAGGTATCCTAGCAAAGCAATGACAATATTTGTAGCGTGCTTTCTAATGACAAAGCACTCACCTCACAGGAACCCCAAGAAGTAGAGAGGGTACTGTCATCATCCCTCTTTTCGATGAGGAAACCAAGGCCCTGTCAGAATCTGTCAAGAGAGGTTCTGTGTCTGAGTATTTATAAACACATCTAAATAAATACCGTGAGGCACCAACAGGTCTTGGCTGAGCCAAAATACAGAAAATCATTTTGAAATAGAAATGGCAAAAAGAAGTATTTGAAGACTTCTTATGATTGTTTTTGAGTTGGGGGGGTATGACAGAAAGAGCACTGAGGACCTGAGTTCCCCCATTTAGGAGCCTCTGCTTTTTAACAATGCTCACATTATCTACCCACCTGGGGCTTCTGGGAGGAAAGCCCCAGAAAAGGGAGCTGCACTCTCCTTACGGCCTTTTAAACGTCATGGAGAGGCTTCTGACTTATGACAGCATTCGCCCCCACGGATGATCTCAAAGCCCTTTACAGAGCCTATTCCAGGTCTCTCCAGAATGGAAGGAATGTCCCCGCTGCTCTTTGGAATCCGAGGTCGGCAGAGTTGCATCGCCCCAGGTCTCCCCCAGCTTTGAAGCAGAGGCCGCGGCTCGCATCGGCCCGCCCACATCTCCAGCGGGTTCAAGACCCGTCCTGCTGGGTCAGAAGGACCACACCTTGCCTGACCCCACAGGCACCTTGCTCGAGGGAAGGCACGCAAGGGGACGTGCCCTCCTCCTGGCACACTCATCAGCCGCCCAAACCGAACCCTGACTGCGCTGCGGACTGACTGTGCCCCAAAGCACGCCGACTCCCACCGGCCCGTTGCTTCATCTCCGTCACGGAGGCAGGACGACTCATCAGTTTCCCCCCTCCGCCCCGAAGGATTGTGGGAATCCACCTGTCAGTGACCGAGGCACACATTGTCGAAACATAGTGGAGGTCCTGAGTCATCCGCAAACACTTCCTGCAACACCTAGGTTTCCTTCCAGGGAATTGCGCAGCCGAACAGTGGCTCTGCCTGCAGCCCAGCTCCATTCCGCGGCAGGCAGTTTATCAAACAAGGCTGCCTGATTGGAGAATAATAATAATAAAGACAACTAGTGTTTATATAGCACCTGCTATGTGCCAGGTGCTGTGCTAAGCGTTTTTTTTCTACAAATATCTCATTTGATCCTCACAACAACCCACGGAGGTAGGTGCTGTTATTATCCCCATTTTACAGATGAGGACACTGAGGCAGACAGAGGGTAAGTGATTGGGGTCACACAGGTAGTAACTGTCTGAGGCTGGATTTGAACTTCCTGACTTTGGCCCCAGTTCTCTATCCACTTTGCTGCATGAATACTGAGATGGATCCACATGGAGCCTGACCTCAAGAAGCCTGCAGTTGGATGTAGGGAACAGCAGACAAATAAATTCCCCTGATCTAAGAGAGAGGGAGAAGAGAGACAGTGTTAGGAGGAATCTGGGGAGAGTGGGGTCCATTGCACCTGGGAGCCAGAGTGATGGAGGAATGGGTGTTACCTGAGGTGGGCCTTGAAGGAAGGTAAAGACTTCACACGGAGACGGTGGGAAAGTCCATTCTTGTCCCAGGGAACCTAGGAGGAAATGAAGCTGACATTTACGTAGTGCTTTTTTTTTTTTTTGGTGAGGCAGTTGGGGTTAAGTGACTTGCCCAGAGTCACACAGCTAGTGAGTGTCTGAGGTTGGATTTGAACTCAGGTCCTCCTCACTCCAGGGCCAGTGCTCTATCGACTGGGCTACCTAGCTGTCCCAACATAGTGCTTTAAGGTTATCAGAGCACATTCATACACTGCCTCCTGGATCCCCCTAACAACACTGTGAAGGAAATGCTTTAAATACCCTCATTTTATCGATAATGAAAGGGAGGTTCAGACAGTCATTAGAGGACTTGTCCTGATATCACATGGTGACTATATCCTGGGTGTGACTTAAACAGGTCAAGTCACAGAGGCAGGATTGGAATCTGGGTCCTCCTAACTCCACTTTCAGCTCTCTCTCTGTCCATCACATCGATGGACACTTTACGCCAAGCTAGTAGGGGAGTATGATGGCATGGGATGGGGTGAGTATGGGGGTTGGGTTAGGGGTGAGGGACAGAATTAGCAGGCCAATTTGGTTGGAGTACAGAATATGTGAAGGGGAATATCTGGAGTCTTAAATACTGGATTCCAGAGTTTATTCGATAGTCAATGGGGAGCCATTGAAAGTGTTGGAAAAGAGGACAGCAGGGCAGTGAGGCAGCGGGATGGAATGGAGATTGACCAGCCTGGACGCAGCAAGACTGGTTAGGAGGTTACTGCTACAGGTTAAATAAGAAAGGAAGGGCCTGACCCTGGACAGTCAGAGAGGGAGTAGAAATGAGGGGCAGGAGAGGAGAGGCACTGGGGAAAGAGACAGGACTTAGCTGGGGGGATTATGGAGATCAGTGTGTCAGAGAGGGCTGTCATATGAGGAGGCACAGCCCTGGCCATCTCTGTGCTGGTGGTAATCGGGCTCCAGGAAACAGATTCTCAGATTTGGAACTCCAAGGCTGTCTGCTCCTGCTTGTGAAAGACCTCGATGACACCCCAGACAAGTGGCCATCCAGCCTCTTCTTGGAGTCCTCCAGGGACAGGGGGCCACTACCTCAGAGGCAGCCCATTCCAATAACTGCTGGGGGCTTTATCTATTTATTTATATTTAAATTTCCCCGTATAGGAAACCTAAAATGGCCCCTCTTTAACCTCCATCCATCGCATTCATTGCTAGTTCTACCCTCTGAGGCCACAGAGCTATAGGCCTTTGAATACTGGGAAACAGGTGTTATGAACCCCAGTTAATCCAATCTAATTTAATCACAAAAGCACTCATTAAGTCCCTCCCATGGCCAAAGCACTATGTTGGGCACCAGCAACATAAAGACAAGACCCTCAAGGAGTTTATGAACCTCATCCCCTCCCCCCACCGAGTTTTCTCCACATTCCATGGCCCCAGTTCCTTTGATCAACTCTCATATGGCATGATCTCCAGGCCCTCCTCAATGTTGGCCATCCTTCTCAAGGTGATTTTCAGGAGACCTTTGAACTCAAGAAGCCAACTCAACTCATTGGCCGGGGTGGCCCAGGAAGCTGGATCCCTCTGTGTGGGGAATGCAGCGTGTGGAAAGAGTACTCTCTCTAGATAGCACTCAGGTGATGTGGGTTCTGATCCTGCCCCTGACTCTTAGTTAATACCTGCAGGACTTTGGCAAATCATTTCTGGCCCTCCAATGCAGATGTTGGATTAGATCACCTCTGAGATCCCTCTGGTTTTAAGTCTTATGTGCTAAGACAGAGTTAAAGAATCCAGGAAATTTAAAAAGGAGTGTAGGAATAGAAGAGAACTCAGAGACCATGTGGTCCAATCTCTGCATTTTACCATTTAGGGCACTGAGGCCCAAAGACATTAAGTGACTTTCCCAAGGTGACAGAGACAGTAACCATTATGGGTGGGGCTGGGGGTGGGGAATGAGCTTAGGTCCTCTGGCTACCTAGGGCTGAAGGCAAGGTTCCATGGACCAGTTCTGCAACAAAGGAGCTGGGTGCCCAGGACACTGTTTCATGGATCAGTTGAGGCTTAGGGTCAACGACTGGACTTTGGCTCACCCCTGCCTCCCAAAATTTCAACTGGAAAGGCTCTGATTGGTGCCTTCTCATCTCTAGTCCAAGGGTGGAGAACTCTATAATTCTGGAGAAAGAGGTACCAGGACAAGTCAGTACATGGATTGATAGGAGATTAATGACTTGAAAACATGACATGGAAATGACATGGAATGACATGCAAATCTTTTTAAAATCAGGTATTAACAATTCTACCTAAATTAATTTACCTGTTCAGTGCCATACCAATCAAACTACCAAAAATTATTTTATAGAGCTAGAAAAAGCAATAACAAAATTCATCTGGAAGAACAAAAGGTCCAGAATATCAAGGGAACTAATGAAAAGAAATGCAAGGGAAGGTGGCCTCACTGTACCAGATCTTAAATTGTATTGTAAAGCAGCAGTCATCAGAACTACTTGGTACTGGCTAAGAAATGGAGTGGTGGATCAGTGGAATAGGTTAGGTATGCAAGACACAACAGTCAGTGACTATAGTAATCTAC